TTTCATGATGAATGGGTCTATAACAGAGCCAAAACCAGAAATCAGCATCAATCTGAGTTCATGTGTATTGTTGTGGCTTTGTGCATGTGCCAGTGAACTGTGTGTGTGTGTGTCCTATAGTGGGTGTAGGATAGTAGTCCTAACGCTAGACAGATTAGAAAACCGATTTCCTGGAGATGCTGACACACACACAAAGACTTTTCTTCTCTTTTTTTCAGTCATTACACACCAGTCTGAGCTTGCTGTTTTTTTTTTTTTTTGGTGGAGCTATTTGTGCGGCAGCAGAGGCTGGCAGCCTGCACAGTGTCAAAGCTTGTTAGGGTGTTCAGCTTCTTGTAAACAATGAAGCCAGAGCTCAGAGGGAGAACACTGTACCTTTGAACTAAGCCCGGTGAGATGGCAAAGCTGCAAGCAGAGGAAACACCTCTGTTCTTCTTGGGTGACTGCGTGCTCTGTGACTGAATAGTGAATTCAGCAGAGGCCACACTACTCTGATGTGAGCTGGTCTCTCTCCGTTACTGCTATTAACTGCTTCTTAAACTGGAGTCTGGGGACTCCTGGGGGCTGGTGAAGGGAGTCAGGGATTCCTTACAAAAATCTCTGTTTCATTATTGAATGTTTTTAAATCAGTGAATCTGTATAGATAAATGATTGTAATGTTTGAACCTAGTGTGTTTCATTCATTTTCATTATCTTGTACAACCTACTATAAGTTTAAAGATGACTTACAAATGTTCTTTATGCACCTCATGTTCATTTATAGTTCCATACAATGCATACATTTTTGGGAGTATAGGAAATTAAAAAGATAAAATGACACAAATCCAGGTTTCATGCTTGGAATTCAAGCAATATATGTAAGCTGTGTAAACACCTATATGTTAATAGAAATATATGTAACTAAATGTTAAGGACTAATCCATTGGCTCTAAAATTGAAAAAAATTAAGATTTTGCTGATTCTAAGATTAGATTGTGTTAATCATCATCACCATCATAACGAGTGAGGTCCAATGAAAAACATCCAGCTAAATAAGTGAAATTATGGAATTGATATATGTAAATACAGACCATTTACAGTAGGGTAATTCATTGAGAAATATGATTAACATAATTATAAAATTATATTATCATCACACATTATTTTTTTATAACAATGATAAATCATATTATAAAACTATTAACCCAATGCAGTATTTACATTCATTGTCTTATTTCCCCTCCAGTGACATTAAAATCCCAGCTTAACAAATGTGTTTTAACTATTATATTTTCACATGTATAAGTAATTGTGTAGTTTAAAAAGCTCAAATACAAATGATGCACTCTACATTATAATTAATATAGGTGATAGTTAGACGTTTCCTCCCTGCCTCACAGAGGGAGTAGAAATAGTGGGGTGTGTAATTGAACACATTCAATTACACAGGTTTGTGCATTTGGGTGGATTCAAATGACAATAATCATGTATCAAGAAAACCATTTCAAAATATCAGAGCTGTGAATTTGAGTCCATGTTTATAGAGCTATAAATATCACAATAATGCAAATTGCAAATTTCCACGTTGGGACGAATTATACATTTATTTTTGTAGCAATTTTTACAAAGTCTAACACAGAGGAAGTATAGTAAATAAAAGGACTTTAAGCAGAAACCATGACTGACTATATGATGTATATATTAATATATATCTATACAGTTTATACATATATGTCCTATGGGACAGAGAGAGAAATGATTGTGTTACTTATTTTGGCATTACTACACCCTAGTAAAGATAAACCATCAAAGAATGCTTTCAGCGTCACCCCGGAATTTGAACATTTAGGGAACATTTAAAAAAAGCTTTTGCTTGTACAGCTGTCTGTAGTCTGTGTGCTTTGTTTGTATGTGAATTGTTTCCTCTGAGGACATGATGCCTCTGGCTGCTGCCTGACGAGGCTTTATATAATGTAATTGTGTTTGCTGTACGCATACACAATGAGCTATGCAGCGTGTGAAGGTGGGTATGGACAAAGACACAATATACAGTGATACATTTAGGCATGCTGTTACATGAATATTTGTCTCGACGCAGCTATATGCTGTATGTTATTTTTCTGGCCTGCCTGTGAATATGTTTGTTCGTTCCATTTATGTGTCTCACATCAGACACTGTGGCTCAAATACTGAAATACTCTATGTGTGTTCACAGTTATAACAGGGTGGTAGATGTTAACAGGAAATAAATTATAACTGCAGAGTTGCACATTCAAATGTGTAGCCTGCATAGAAAAGGCACACATATTATATGCTTTAAAGCAATACTCCTTTTCTACTTGTGTGCTGAGAATACAGGCAGTATGCGGTTGGCAGGCAGTGTTAAACAAAACCAGGTGAATCACTTTGATGGATAGAATTGTACGATGGCTGTTTTCCAAAGATAAACTCGATATTAATCTTCTCAGCTGACAGTCAGTTTGGCAGCAAACAATAATATGTTCATAAAATATTGAGCACTCCTCTGGCACTTTTTGCTTGTTTTGTTTCTCCATCCATAAACTAGAACTAGCACGTCACATACAGTCCTCTGAAATTCAATCCAGCCCCACCAAATTACACACACTACATATCAGTCACCTAAAGAAATCATCAAGACCTCTGTATAATTTCTTTGGAACTTCTCAAAAATCTTGCTAACGAACAGAACACTAACACTTATCATCTGTCCATCCAGCAGATTCAAACCCATGCACCTTGGCTTTGAAACATTTGTACTAGTAACTCTAGCAGTGTACCAAATATCCCAACATTCAGAAATATATTATTGTGCTTATAACTGCATTAGATTTCCTTCAATAAACACACGAATAGGTTTAATGTCCCTGCACATACTTTGTTTATTAAAAAAAGTTGGGTGGTTTCTTAAAATGTTGTCACAAATATGTCCTTGTTCTTTTGAAACCGTTCACATGGAGGTCAGAGGTCAGGGAACATCTACCAGTACACAGTAAAATGAAGGTGTATTAATATTGATCCCATTGCACTCAGGTATAGTTATAATGAGCATATGCAGTCCATATTTCTTTACAGCAGAGTCACTAAGATGTAGTTGTAGCAGGGTAGTGCAGACGGTGAGCGTCTTAAGCACACAGCCGTCACACAACACACTGCAGTTTGTGCAAACTACAACAACATTAACAAATATTGTCTGACAACCTTTTATTTTGCGAGCACAAAAGAATAATAAAATGACTCCAGAATCATGTCTTGTCATCTTAATCGTATTATGCTTCAAACTAACTTTGAGCATTGTTTTAGATTAAATAAATAGTGTTTTCAATGGAAGGTGATTTGTTATTTTTTTACCGGGGAAAATGTTATATTTTAGCTTTTTATCTTACTTATTTTTTTGTAATTGGACTGTTGGGGCTCGTCCTATCGATTTTACATCATTAACCTCTCAACTCTCAGTTTGGTTTGGCAATGCTAAGTGCAGTAAGAGATATCTTACCACATCAAACTACTAGTGTGTGAAATATAACAGGTAAGGGGAGGAGGTAGTAATGTGTCACATTGCGAGGTTGTAATCAAACTTTGTTGGTCAGATCCTTATGAAATTATATTTTGTTCTGGATTCCACCTGTTTTGTGGGATGCATAGTAGGATTTTGGCACAATATATAATAAGGTGTATTAACTTGGCATTACTTAAATGAGGTTGTATCTTTTCAGAAAACACATTTCTATAAAAACCTCATCCCAGAATTGTTGGCTGGCTGAAGGAAGGGATAGAAGGACAGATGAAGAGATCTTATTGTCCTTCCTCCCTGTGGAGGAAACTGGATTCAAAGTCTGCCAGGTAGACAAAACATGCAAAACCTATAAGTCTCCAGAGTCCTCTAATAGATGATAAGAATAGATAGTCATTACATATAATATCTCCTTGACTCCCACATTACGTCTTAATAATTACAAACACAATACCAGGGTCCTGATATGAAGCTACAGTGACGCCTCTAAATAGTTGTGTTATTCACTGTATCACTTTCAGTGGATTAGGCCTCAGGCAAATGGCTCAACAAGATTAGTTGGCCAACCAATTTGACAAAGGCACAGTAATTGCTTGATGAAGATATTGAATATGCAGGCCATATTGTGTTCCATAATCTATGATTTAATAACTGTCTGCACCCTAAATGAGAGCCATCTTTTATATTCCTAACTGCCGTTCCAAAAAAAAAAAAGATAATGCTGCTCATAGTAAGAGTTTTCTTTGCTGTACCATTAACAACATCACTGTTAACATATGCATATAACCGTCAAGTCAATGCAAGGTTAGTACTTTTCTGTCCACAGACAGTGCAGGCAGAGACATATCGATTTGAGATTGTCCTCCACTGACAGCTTCTACTAGCAGCTATAGAGGCAGGCCAGAGTTTGAGTTATGCCAGTTAGCTTTAAAGACCCACTTGGTACTAACTGTATCTGATAAGTGATCCAAGGAACCTTTAACCAGGTTGGGATAAGTTCGTGTGGCTTTTATCCTCCTTCATCTTCGCTCTTCCAGGTAAAGGCTGCTGCAACACATTACGTTGGAGTAATGGTTTCAGCGGTATAGCTGGACATGGACTGAACTTGAGACAGAGCGTCTTGGATAATATTCCTGAAGCCAGGCCTCTATGTTAAAGTGAAACAGAAACTGCCCACCTGGCTCGATAAGCACTGCGACGTCTTGCAGATTCAAAATACAGCAGAGATTGTGCTCAGTCTAGACCAAAGAGGGTAGCTCAGATATTTCAGCCAATTCTGCCAATAATCCACAGCCTGTTTTCCCACCGGGAGCTCACAACTGACCAGTTTTTGAATAGCATCATTTAATATTTGAAATAGAATCAAAGGTAGAGTTCATGAGAGGATGTTTTTTACAGTAATGATTTTGAGTGTTCTTAAATCAATGTATGAGCAGGGGGGGGTCTTACCTATTTTTCAATGAAGAAGAATCCTTCTGGGTGAGTCTATATGAGCAGAGGTTGGACAGAGCGGACCTTGGAACAGTGAGCTAGCTGGTGGGCTTAGACTGGCGAGGTGGGCAAACAGGTGGACATCCTTTAGACAAGGAAGATAGATGTTAGATAAGACTTCAAGGCTAATATCTCAAACTAGCATGACAGATTGATTCTCTAGAGTTTGAGCTAAAGTGTGGTGCATCAACAAACCATAGATTGCAAAATGATCCAGCAGGGACTGGCAGTTGGTGCAGGGTTCTCATACTTTGGAAGGCAGATGTGTTGATTCCTGATGAAGGGCAAGAGTGTGGAGAAAGTGAGAGAGAAGACAGGGGCATGGGAAGAGGACAGACGATACGAAAACACCCCAAGCTCACATTGGATCACTGTTACCGCCTGGCTCAAGGCCGGCAACCAAAAGGGAGGCCTCACACAGATAAAACAAGCAAAAATGTGTTTATTTCACTTAAACAAGCAAGCAAAGTAACTAATGGATGGAGTGTGTAAGTAGGAAAGTCATCAGTCATGTTAGGAGTGTGTGGATGGGTGAGAACATGGTGTAGTGTGTGTTGAAAGGTGTAACAAACCAAACAAAGGGGCTGCAGCAGGCCCAGCTGAGAGAGAGCTGTGATTGCAAAGGGCGGTCCTTTATACCTTCTGCACAAAAGGGCAGGGCCTCCTCACTATCCTCCCGGCTCCGCCTACCAGCCAACTCCCAGTAGCTGCAAGAGGGCAGAATGAGACAGACAGGCATACTGGAAATGGTCGTCACATCACACAGAAGACAGCTGTCATGGAGGAGCATACAGGACAATGATATTTTATTGAGATGAATCACGTTTTTATCAAAAGTTCAGTATCTAGTGTGTAAGATTTAAGTGAAAGGGATCTATTGGCAGAAATTGAATGTAAAATAATCCTCATGATGTTTTCACTAGTTCATTTCATCTAAATTGTATGAATTGTAGTTTTCTTTACCCCAGAAAATGCCCTTTATATTTAAATACTTGGTATATATGGTAATACTTACTATATTTACATTGAGGGTGTCCTCCCTATGGAGGCTGCCATGTTTTTTACATTAGTCCAGACTGGAAAAACTAAACACCTTTTGAGTTTTATGACAATTAAAGGCTCCCACAGTTTCTTTTTCATGTTTGGAAGGAGAGGGTGAGGTGAGGGGTGTTCAGCTGCAACATGCAATTTCAACACTAGATATCACAAAATTCTACACACTGTACCTTTAAGTCAGGAAGACGATCATCGTGATGACTATCTCTCTCTCCCTTACTCTCTCTCCCTTACTCTGACTCCCCTCCTCTCTCCATTTTCCGTTTCTCTTCTTCATTTCAGTATAAGATCAGGACAATCCTCGTGCAACCTCATAACCTCTTTCACTGAGCTCATCCAACGTCCTGTTCCACATCACATCCACCCACGTTTTCAGGTATTGTTCCTACACTCCGTCCTTCACAGCTCATAGAATACTACCCCTTTAAATGAATAAATTGCCTAAGTTTCCTCACAATTGTGTTCCTCACAAGTTTCTCTATTGTGCTTTATTTGTTTGTATCTATGTGAATAAAATGATTGAATCACTATTTAAGCATCTCTTTCAAATAACCCACTGCTTATTACAATAGCTTATATATAAAATAAATAAGACCTAATTTTCAACAGTGTTGTTTTTAACTCAATGTAATATGACCAGACACTGGCAAAGTAGCATATTATAACAAAACATTTTTAACAACATTGCAGATCAAATAAAAAATGGCATAACAACCATAGTGGACAGTGAAGACATTCAAAGATTGCTGTAATTCTGAGAACCTATTAACAGGAACTGAAAGTCAAATGAATGAAACAATGTTTAGGATGTACAATAAGTTTGCATCCCCAAATGTGTGATCGCAAAAACAAAGTCAAACGATGAATCTACACCCTCAGCTCCTACTATGACTACTACAACTCATTATTTACTTGCCTTAATGATGAAGTAGTTGCTCGTATTTAAATGGTGCAAAATGCTGCAGCAACATTTCTCATGAACAGAACACAGACCACATATTGCAAATACATGTGTAGCTTCTTGTGATCTGGTTCTGAGCTCTGCAGCGCCTATTCTGCTCAGAGACTAGAATGTAGTTAAAAGTTGCATGTTCCTGACTGTGCCTGTATTATTTTAGTTTGAGTACTATGGAACAAACACCCCCTCAATATCAGAACAGTGTCAGTTTAAAAAGCTTTTAAAAACCCACCTGTTCACACTGGCATTTTTATATCTTAGAATGTCAAATTATTATACTTCAGATGTTTTAATGTTTTACTTCTAAACTTTCTTCATGTCTCAGTCGTGCCTCTTCAATGCATGTGATGTATTTTATTGATTGATTTTTTGTCTTTCAGCTCTTGGTATCATTGCAACTACTGAGTTTTGTATTTTCAAAGCCCCTTGTAACTCTTGTTTTGAAAGGTGCGAGACTATAGAAATGAAGTTGATTATCATTATCATGAAATCATTTTGCTATATATTTTGTGTATGGTTCTTGTAAACCTTCACATATTTCAAATTGTCAACCCTTATTTGTTAGCGCTAATGTCTGTTAGCATTCACAGAGGAACAAAGCAAAGAAATGGTAACACAGAAAAGAAAAGAAACCAAAAAGGTAAATAAGGTGTGTAGAAAGCACATGAAAGCAGCTGCTTCTGAGTTATCTCAGTGAACCCAGAGACGACCTTGACTTTGAAAACACAGGGCACAGGAAACACATATCCCACTACAACACAAACCACTTCATGGGTTCCTGGCAACATGATGAAATTTCCCCGAAATCTCCTGCAATGTCGGGACTGTCACTCACCATGTTAGTGTGTGTACTGGAGGGCACTGAAGTGTACTGCAAGTGCATGCATTTGTCCTGCTCTAGTCCATGCTCTGAAATTAGATCATACAATTGAATGATGTATTGTTTTGTTACGATTACATTGCCACCTCTGTGTCTCTAGGAATTGTGCCAATCTGAAGATGATTCCACTGAATTATGACCATTCAGGAATTACCGTGTAGTTATGCAGAGGTTGTGGAAATTGACATACAAATAGCGCATATGACTTTACTATGAAAGACTAGAAGTCATGTCCCATTAGAGACCTGCATGGCTGCCGGCTGGCATACAGTTAGCCGGGTTGATGTTTCTATCTGCTAAGATGACGTCAATCATGACTTGTCGTCTGACTGATTCTTATAGATATTGTAAGTCGCAACTTGTACAATCATAAACATATACATACCCCTTTATACAAGTTTATTTGCAGTATCCATGATCCCTCCCTAGTCATAACCATACTGTGGTAGTCATGCACAGATATTGCAGAAGGGGAGAATTTTAAAAATGTCATTGGATTTAATATGGTTTTCATCCTAAACTGACATTTTGATAAAGTTCATTTGAACATTTCATTAAAGCTCTCCTGAAATTCAGCTCTGTGTTAACACATGGATCCAAGACCAGAAGCTGTCTACGTCATGACAAAGTTCTGGCATTTCAAGTTTGGTGCTGGTCCACTCCAACTCCTCACACCTGCACAATGTCACACTTAAACCCACACCACAAGTACGCACCGTAGTGCAGCACGCTGAAAAAACACACATAAAAGGTGCTGTACCTTGAGTCCAAAATGAAAGAATAGTACAAGGTACAGCATTACAGTGAAAAAGAGATTTTTTCTGATAGTTCTAGCACCAACACAATGACAAAATAACCTTGATTCAACTTTTGAATGATGCTGTGTTGACTCATTTATTATTTAAACTGAAACAGAAAATCAAAGTGAACTATTAGAGGTTGAGGCAAACTACATCTTAACTGTAAAAGGTTCTTTGGTATTAGATTTATAAAACACTCCTACATGTGAATAGAGAGAGCTTTCACTGAAAAGGACGACCTCATCTTGTACATCAGCAGGCCTTGACAAGCCACCAGATGTTAAAATACAGAAGGAACGCTGCAAAGCAAAGTAAAAATAACACAGGGCAGCCACGGTCACTTGCAACTGCAGACTTAGTTCCTCACTTGCCTTTAAGCAAGTGGGAAGTGGGGTCATCACAAAAGAGAGCTAAAGACAGTTCAAACTAGAAGGTTCTTTTAAAATATTTGTATTTAAATATGACTGCTATAAGAAATAAAATGTGTACATTCTTTTGATATTGAATTGCATCGCCTAAAAATGTGAACAAGATCAAATGAAGTGTTGAAGAATTTACAGCAGACCTAATAATAAAAGTGGCCAGAGAAATGTTCCCCTAGACTGAATTTCTATCGTTGTCAAGGATATCACCTAATGTATTGATCTTTATTCACTCTTAATAACTAGCTTTATTTATATATATAAAAAAACTATAAGGGCAGAATCAGGATCGACAGTGTTATAACTTTTGATCCAGAAGAACTGGGACACATCCTTTTCTTATTTCTTCCATCACTGTGTGCACCCTAGACAAGACAAAACCTGCTGCTCACCACCATCACATTGGATGGAGGCACTAACCTCAGAGACATAGCTCAGATTCTAGTGTACTGTCCCCGATCTTAACCCTCAATCCATCCTCAGACCTAAATCTCTCTGTCGTTCTGAGCTCTGCCCATTTAATGAGGAATCAGGTTTTTGTGAAAATATGTGAAGCTCACAGACTAAAGCAGGAAAAAACATATCTGTGGTAACCAAAGCAAAATGTCACAAAGTAACTTTTAATGAGAGTGTAAAGCCCAGTGAGAAGGATGTATTTTTCCATGGCAGTTGGCAGGACTATATGTTAGGCTGTTATATCCCCGGCTCTCCAAACTCAAGTGTTCTCTTTAATTGCAGGTCAACGTGAATTTGATGCGTCAGCTGCCATCGGCCTTAATTAATTCTGCACTGAAAAGAAGCCCGCGACACCCACCCATCTCTTTGTCGGTAACCTGCAAGAGAGAGAGTCGGGAAGGGATGAGAGCAGAAAAAGAAATAAAGAAGAGAAGTCATTGCAGTACAGACAGAATGGCCTTTTACCTCAAGCAGCCATGATCCACTGAGTCGGTCAAATTACAGCTATCATGTGCAACTGCAGTGGAGGTGGAGTTCAAGCAGAGCATTGATGACCCATTTTGTTTAGCAGACACTGAGTTCTTAAATATAATGGAAGCTGTTTATATGGACACTGAGCATTATGTGACACCACAGGATTGCACTCTCAACATTTCTTTTTTCTCCAAACACTTGTTATTCGCTGCCGGCTCGCACCACAATTCAGGTGATGACCGGTGTGGCAGTCGACCATGCCATGGGGCTCTCACCAAAGCAGCCAGAGAAAAACCACTCAGACTTTAGCATTTTATCGTGCTTTATTAAACTAAAACCAAAGTCACAAAACACTAAACTTAAAGGGTCCAGCACTTTCTCTTGGACGTGTAGCTTCGCAGCTCAGTCTCTGTCCATCTCTGTGATTCTCCTGAGGCAGCTCCACTGTGGTTGTTACAGCTCTCACCTGCGCTGACTGATCCTCTGTGGTGCAGGTGAAGGTGCTCTCCAAGCCCCTTCACCTCCACAACCGGATATAAGTCAGTGA